CCACTTTTTCAAAACCTTTCAACAAAAAAAATAATTTTGTATGAATATAAAGAATGAATATTTAGTGGTGGAAGGAAATACGAGTGAGACACGGTACAGCTAAATAAAGGATTACTGGAAAGCATTATACAAGGTGTTTCATGAAGAAGGGGTATTATTTTCACCACGTATTCTATGTCCGAAAATAACCCTATAGGTTGCCATATAAACGATACCTTAAAAATGCTTCGTTACGGATATATAGGGTGTTGAACGTTAATTTAAAAAAAATCCAGGGATCAAAAGCTAGGGACGACTCATGTTTTAGAATTTCGTTAATTGTGGTTAGTAGCGTTGGTGAGTGCCTTAAATGCCAAAGGTTTCATGGTGCTATATGCAATAATTTTAAGGGTTAAGTAAAATTTAGTTAAAGTTAAAAAGTTTACGATTTTTTTTTTAAGGCGTTTCCACAAGCAATCTCTCCCTATTGCAGTGCGTCATCCCACCCACATGGTGGGGTGAGATTACCAAATGTTTTTCCTTTCTATTTTACTTTGTTACATTCCTGTATTAGTTTTGAAATTATTATAAAATTAATTTTCCAATAATTTTTTGTTTTCATTTACTAACTAATTAATTTTTTATGAAATTTATATTCAACAAATAGTGCATCTATCCCGATTTTAACCTACAGGGTATTTGAAAATGGCAATGTTTAAAAAATACGGTAGCGTACAGGAACGCAAGTCACTGGCAAAAATTAACAAAATAATTTTATTGCAAAACATGCATCCTTCTGACAACTCTATTGATCCCTGGAAAATTTCGTTAAAACATCTGCATGCGTTTCGAAGAAATTTATCATTTCGCATTTTTAAAACGTAACACCCTGTAAATCCGCAACGAAGTATCTTTAGGCTATCGTTTATAAAGCAAACTGGGAATCTGTTCGGCCGTAGAATAAAAAAACCTAGATTAAAATAATGCCCCCTCCTCATGAAAAACCTTGTAAGTATATGATAATTATAACTGAGAAGGAAAACAAAAATTTAAGTCACCTGACTGTTTTTTTGCCACTGCCGGTTTTTTTGCCTTATTTTCAGTGCGGGCTGGACTTCCCTCAGACCTCCTGGTGACTGAGTCGATATTGCTAGCTGAAACAAAATCATTAATTTCCACTGAAAATATTCTAAATAAAAAAGTATGTATTTACTAAAGCCGTTTAGTTTTGCCTTGATTTCAACGTCAGGTTCGCTTTCAACAACATAATCTTCTGGTAAGTTATTTTTCCCAACTAGCTGATATTCAAAGTCCTCACATTGCTTAATGAAAATTTCCTTGCCTAAGTCACTATAGTTGGCAACGAAACTAAAACCAGGTTTAAATAGAATAAACGAATTGGATTAAAACTGGCTGAAAATATACCTGATAGGAGTTACTTTATCACTTTTACTTAGGAAAAATCTGGGAATATCTTCGATCTTGAGTAGTTTGTTGAAAGCACCTCTCAGATTCATTTTCTGATCTCTAATCGCATCTTCATCGAAGCAAACCAGTTGTTCCAGTTCATCAGCATGTTTCTGCAGTGACGACTGGACTTCATTCAGACCGCTAAAATATGGCAAAAAATGTTTGGTCGTTATATTTCGGTAGTGAACTCCGAATACCTGCTGTCGAATTTGTATTTGTCCAATTCGTTGAGAATTTTATTTTCCAAGCATTGCAATCTTGAATGGTAGTCACTGAAGTAATGAAGCACGTCTTTTTTTATATCGCCAGTATCAAAATTGGCCAACTTGGAAACTTTCTGTGAAGTTCAACATATTTTACGGAGGGAAAAGGCTTTAGAGGAGATGTTTGTTTTTACCTTTTGAGCTACAAGGACGTCTCTTAGAATGTTCCCAGCCATACGTTTTTGCTTCTTGAATTCTTCCATTTCTTCTGCACTCTGAAAAATACAACAGTGGGATAATGAAATGGGTAAGGAACTTAACGTTATGATGAGTCTTACCAAGCTATATAGAGCAACTCTTTCATGATCAGTATGTTTATCCAAAACACAGTAGCAACACGCGTTCAAATCACAAGTTTTACAGAAGAACTCGAATTGCATTTTCGGATGTTCCATGCAACTTTCTAGCACAAATGAAAATTCCTTTCTTCGTATAGGTTTTGGGGCGTGAGACATAAGCCGTTTGATACTCTTATGGACAACAGTGCAACAATCAAGGCAGTAGAATCCTAAACGAATAATTGAAATTACAAATTGTGATATTGTACCAAGAACTTTGACCCTACCGTCACAACTCGAACAAAACATCGTCGCTTGTTTACGGCATGCATCAAAACAGCAAATGTCTGAAAGTGAGACACTGTAAGTATTTGAAAGTATCACAGTACAACCACATGAGAAAATTGGCTCAAAGGATAATGATACAAATTCAGATAATTCTACAATTCAATAATGATACAGATTTTGAGACGTGTTTTTCTCAGTCACCCCCAAGACCGGTTTTGAGCATATTAGCTATCAGCTAGGTTTAGCAAACACACACGCAGTCAACAGGTGCAGGTGTCGGCAGAATTATTTTTAGCCTAAACCCATCTGATGAGAGCTAAAGGCTCGAAACCGGCCCAAAGGTGTCTGATATTAACACATAAAACTTGAGTTGAGCAACAAATCACTACCTGTGATTTTTTTCACAGCGATTAATAAATAGCAATCACAAACTGTGACGAACCTAAAAAAAACTGTGATCTAAAACGTGATATTATAGAGCGACTTTTCACTGCTAACGCTACTAATGCGAGTTGCGTGTAGTGATCATATGTTGCACATGTGGCCCGGCGAAAGAACGTACCCAAATAAAACTCTTCTGTTCGTTAGTCAAAGCTTGCTTTCACGGGTTCCCTTGAGCCTGGATTTTATTGATATTTTTGGGAATCGTATTTCAGTATGCACCGTTTATTAATTGTGTATCGGCAACCTGTTTGTGTATTTGTAAAATAGTTTTGTGGGAATACGCTTAGTATTTCTGTTTCGTTTATTTCTTCGAATTGAAATTGTTTATTATGTATTGTGCCAAGCGACGGAAAATTACTTTTCTGCATTAGATAATTTTGCAAAATTCAATTTATGCAAAGCAAAAGTATCTTACAAAACAAGTACGTCGAATTTAAAACGGCACATGGAATGCAACAGTAGCGAACTAATATTTTTGTACCTATTTTCACTCAAATAAAGTTTTTTTCAGACCAAAAAATAAAATCAAATATAGCTTGCTCACAAAGAATTAAGAGCCGCATACGCTATTCGTTCTGTCTAAAACAATTGTTTTTTTTCCTATTTTAATTTTTTTTCTGAATGTTTTTAGAACTTTTAGAGTACCTGGGTTTACAAAATGTGTAGCCACTTGCTAGTTGCAGAGGATGTTATTTTTTAGTGGCCTTTGTACTTTAAGTATAAAACATTATTACCTAAATAAGGTTATTTATTTAAAAAATACAAATTACAAATGTTCTAAAATTATTTCTGCAAGTGACGTTATCACCCATCACCTTATGACGCTGCTATATCACGAAAACAGCAACCACACGTGAAATCGCATTCACAGGTTAAATTCACAGTAAAAAGAAATTACATTCACAGTTATAACAGTGATTTAAAAATCACGATTTAGCTCATCTCTGCATAAAACCGATATTTAGAAATGTAGTTGTTCATGCAGGTGCAAACATAATTTCGGCTTTGTTAAATAAATAATTAATCAAATTGATAATTAGAGAAAAAAATAACGTAAACCACCCAATTTTTTTGGTGATAAAATTCATATTAAGGAGAAATCAGTGTGTAGATTGGAGATGAAGTAATTTTATGTTTATGTTCGATTTGCACTTTTAGCAATGGCAATAACTATCAGATTATTATGATGGATGATGGTGACTCAGAACTTCCGTATTGAAGTTCAAATACATGTTGACACAGCAATTCACGTTTGATTCTATTGAGATTGACCAAAATCGTCAGAAAAAAATGAGCAAATTTTGATAGTATCATCCTTTTTACTAAGGAAGTATCTTTTCCAGGAATTTAACTTTTCATTTTTAAACCAACCGCATATAATTTAAGAAATCTTCAAATCTTAAGACGTTCTCATAAGCGGTTTAATTAGGAATCTTTGGCTTGATAGTTTATTTTTATCCTTAGTAAAATGTGTATAGTGAACAGAACATTCGTTTGTTCCTTATTTGAAAAAATTGAAACGAAACTAAACCAGCCATATTTAGATGCATTTTTAGTCATTAAATAAGCTCAAGAGTTAGTTTATATCATTCAATACCTGCAGTTGGTTTACTTGCTTCGGCTGAACGCGCCTTGCTGATTTCTGTATCTACAAGCGACAGATTTTCCAAATTTTTCGTACAGTCACCCGCAACATGACGATGCGTTAGCACTCCAAGTATGTAATAATTTGGAGGAAACACATTCTGAAGATCATACTGCCCGCTGGAAGATTGCTTCTGTAACATTTTGGTTATAGATTAAGAAACACCCTATAAATAAATATTCGTTAAAGAGATTGAGAGGAAAATCCGAAATTTCACATTTTAAAGTGTTGATATAAGTTGGAATTGTAATTTATTTGATAATATTAATGTAAAATGTTGATTTTCATCTTTTATCTGAATCTTGGGCGCCAACTGGACCAAGAGTGAAGCTTAGGTCTTGTGTGAAAGTCCTAAAAAGTTTTCTCACACGGACGAAAACTTCTTTGATTTTTTGAAACTTACGCCGGTAAAAGTAGAATCGCTGGAACATGAAAAGCAGGTTATTTTGTTGTTTTTTAAACCCTGATAGATGCAGTCCCGGCACATTGTATGGCCACAGTGCAGGATAAGGGGCACACTTCTGCTAGCTTGTCGATGATCTAAAGAAGATTAATTTCTGAATTAGTGCTGTGGGGGTAGATTGCTAATCAATAGTTCATCGCTTATTCACACGTGAAATCGGAATTCACTCAAACTAAAAGAAAATAATTCAAAATATGTACTTACTTTGTGAGGTATAATGGGTTTTACACTTGGGGCAACTGTACATAGACGTGCCAGTTTCTTCACGCGATTGAACCGGGGTTTTCGACTTTCGAGTGGAATTGCTTATAGAGTCTATGCTGTGATTACTGCTGTTACCTTGATTGCTTCGCCGTGTTTTCGGTTTGCGGCTAGACTCAAAGACATTTAGCGGGGCTGGTTGGGCATTTATCAAACCTCCTCCACGGCCCAAGCCCAAGCTAAAATCGTTTTGGGGATTAAGAATACGACCATCCTGATATATCGAGTAGGGGTCATAAGAACGTGCTTCGGACCAATTAGCACTGCTTGAATGCGGCGTAGAATCACGTCCGAAGTCTCTTGGGTTTGCATAGTACTGTCCCGAGTTGAAAGCATTGCTTGCATTCGGCGTTTTGGGCACCCGCACTCTTCCTCTTTGAAACATGTTTTGATGATTGAATGTGATTATGGCGAACTGATCTGGATATGGTAAGACCTGAAAAATCGACTATAACGATCACTAAAACTTTGATCGAGCACCGGAGGTACCTTTTTATTACATTCACATTCTCTAACTGAACGGAACTAACYCCAACAAATTCAGCATCTTGAATGAATTCACTCATAGATAAGGACAGATGAATTCAGTGAGTGAGAAGTCTGTGGAATTCACCGAATTCACAATCCGTTCACAACTGTGGTTCACTCAAAATTTTATTCTATGAATTCAACTGATTCAACAACCGATGCTCATAGACGGCGTTGCCAGCAGCCTGTCTGTCCTCAATGTCAATCACGGAAAAGTGCTGAATTGTCGCACCCCCGATATCAAATCACTAATAAAGCGATTATTGACAAAATCTAAATTTCGTCTTGCTTAGAAAGACAGTATTCTAGTAACCGATAAATCTACAATCATATAAATAATTATAAAAATTAAGACTTGTGTAATAGCACATACTAATTTGTTTGTGCCAATAACAAATAAACTCTGAGCTTTGCAGCTTCTCAGAAATTCTAAAGGCTTTGGCATCACCGCCAAGCGACACTGCCTGAAAAATGTCTATATCATATCAACCCAGCAATAATGCTACTGGCACTTGAGTAGATGTCGCTGTTCCACTCGGCAGCCAAAACGGCGCCGTCTGAACTTTCCACTGAAGCACACTGAAGCGCGCACGTCAAATGCCAATTCAACTCGGCTGTTTGAACGAGACTTCACACAATTGAAAAAAATGGATAAAAATGGTAATATTTTCCTGTTTAACGTTAAAATCCCACTGCAATTGAACAATTAAAATAATCCGCACATTTTTCTGATAGTTTTTCCAAATTTCCGGGTACTGAGCGCCGTTATTTCATCGTTTATAGTTGTAAAGTTCGCATTGTTAATTGCAAATCTAAAAAAACGACAAAAAACAGTACTATAAACAGAGTAGAAAGCAAGTAGTTAGGAATTAAATTACTTTTTGGTATTTAAATACTTTTTGGTAGTTAAATTCCATGTATGTAACTACTTTTTCAAGAATGGTATTTATAATTGAACCATGAATTACTTTATATAAGTAATTAGTAATTAGTATTTGAAGATTTTGTGTAAATACTTTCATAAATGCCCCCCGCATCCACGCAATAACGCATCCAGCTTTAAAAGATTTAGTTAATAGGAGTAAAGTTACCAGCAGTTCTCATTAACTCACCTCGCGATAATTAGCTTGAGGTAGATGCAGACGGGTCATGTCCGGATTTTGATAGTGCAATGGCTTATCCTGAAGATCATTTTTCGCACAATAATGGAAAGCTGTGAGAAAAAAGTTGAAAAATCCCAAATTCATTTGTCTAAACATCATCGTAGCGTTACGCATTCGTGTATTCTTATAGGAACAACAGACTTTATGAAACTCATAAACCAAACTCCATCACTCAGATCAAAGCACGATCTGGTTCTTAATAAATGTTCCCAACTATGGAATAAAGCAGGACGACCAAAATTAGCTGAAATAATAAAAGATGTTCTGGGTCATTATTTAAGCTACCCAGCGGCAACCAGATGGAATTCTCAGTATGATTCGGTAAAACAAATTTTGAAAGTTAAAGACAAAATTACAATTCTCTATGACAAAGTAGAAATAAGGACTAACGCCTCAAACGAGACTGACTGATTATTTATCGGAATATCTAAAAATTTTAGAGCCAATTGCATCAGCAATTGATATATTACAAGGTGAAAAAAACAATTACTTTGGATTCGTTATTCCTACGATTGCCAGCATGAAATATAAATTGATCAAATTAAAAACCGAAAAATTTTGATTCTTTAATTCCGTTGTAAATGGCCTCATAGAGTGTGTGTCCAGAAGATTCGAGAAATTTTTGGTCTTACATCCTGAAACGCCAAATGCAATTATTGCATCTATAACCCATCCCAGATTTAAACTAAAATAGGTAAATTTAATATGGAATATGGAAGAAAAAATACAAACGCCAAAAGATGATTAAAAAAAAATTTGGAAAGGCAATTAATGAGACAGCTGAAAGTCGAAAAACGCCTCTTCCAGAACAGGATAAGAAGAGTTCTTCATTCAACACGGACTTCTTTGAGTTTGATGGCAAAGAATTGGGTACATCAGCGAATGATTATGATTCAAATGGGCTTAGTGCCAGCTTTGCAATAACTACAAGATCCCAGTTTTGAGTTGGAAATGAGCTAGTGAAAGTGTTATTTTTAAGGTATAATACCACTTTACCTTCCTCAGCACCAGTTAAGAGAATATTTTCTTATGCCACTTTTATAAATGCTCTTCGCCGCCATGCACTATCAGACAAAAACTTTGAAAACCTAATGCTATTAAAAGCTAATAGTAATTGGTATTAAATAATACATTTTAACCTTTTTTTTGTAAAGTTTTGTCTGATTGTTATCCTATTTCATAAGTTCCTATGGTACGTATTCTGTTTTTTGGAAATATTATTATGTATTCTTTCTGAATGATATTAAATGTTTAAAAAAATATGTTTTTTTTTGTAGTTTGGTAAATATAGTACATATATGATTTATCAGTGATGTTGGTGTACTATAATATGGCAATTGAAAAGTTAAATACTAATTACTAAGTAACTAGCTAACCCAAACTAAGTTTGTGTTGTTAAATAGTTTTTTGTCTTTCAATACTTTACTACAAGTATTTGTTAATCAATTACCGGCATATTCTAATTAATAATTAATTATAATAATATAATAATAATAGTAATTGTATTTAAATACTTTTTAAAAGTAATTTGCCCAGCTCTGACTATAAAGTATTTAAGCGATAAATTTCATTCGTAGTTCGAATTTGATGCAATCCGCACCTTTTCCCCAGTGATTTTTTGCAGTTTTCCGCTACCGAACTTTACTTTTCATAGTTCACAGCTGCGGATGATCCATTAGATGCACTATTTTGCAAAATTCACGTTCAATTATCATTTTTCCAGAAAACAACCTACACGAGTCTACAGAAGAGTCTTCTGCTGGCACTTATTGTAAAGAAATCACACCTATTCTGAGCAGAAACGCCGTGGATCAGTCGATTATCAGCAAAGTTAGCAAATTTGATCAAAATCTTCGTTAAATTCCACAACTAAATATAACAATAAAGTGCAGTGTTTCACCACTAGTAATTCAAATTCTCCTTTACCAATGGAATTACAGATAACCGAGGAGCTGAAGATAAAGCGCCTGACGATGGAGCTTGCAGAAATGGATGCAAAGATCGCGACCATTCAAAAACGAATAGCCCGAGATGAAAAACAAGGCGCAGAGCTGGACAGGCAATTGCACAACGCCACTGAAATGGAAGGGCAATCAATGGTGAGTGTTCTTGCGGCACAAGATGGATTTTTCACTAGTAAACCTTTGTCTCCAAGCGCTGCTTTAAAAGAACCGACAAGATGTTCACGGTGCTGGTGGATGAGTGCGACAAGCTGAAAAACGAGTACAAAAACCTCGAAGGCCGACAGTTGGAATTTACCACCAAGGTTGAGGAATTGATACTCAAAAATCAGACAATGCGGGATATGCAGCAAGAAATCGAAAATTTGGAGCAGCAAATAAAAGAGATCTTGAACGCTCCAAAACCTAGCCTAGACGAGAATCTTGTCCAAGTAAGGCGATAGTCAACTTTAACCAATTAAATCTGCGCAATTTTTATGCTTACAGGAAAATCTTCAACTCCGCATAAAGTATCAAAAGCAGGTGCAAGAGATAGCCAATAAACGCTTGAAACAGAGCCAACTGGCAGAATTAACGCACCGAAAATGCAAGCTGTTGCAAGAAATATGTATGGCGCAAACCAGAAACAAAGAACTCCAAGAAAAGGTCACCGCAAAGAAGCAAGTTTCCGAGAAAAACCGAAACATGCTGCAGGCCAAGTTTGCCCAAATCCAGGACAAGTCTGCACCCATTAGTACTAAAAGCTGTTCAACTAGCTAATTATTCATAATTTCTAGAATTGCCAGCAATGTAAGTACGAGAAACGAGCTGCTGAACGGCATTAAAGAATCAGAAGAACGAGTAGAAGATATCACATCAAAGGTATTTGTTCCAGCTGGTTCTTGAAAATCAGTCAAACCAATACGTATTTCAATTCCAGATATTCTCGAAAAAATCCCAACATCTTCTAATGGTTCAAGAAAAAAAACTAGAACTAGCCGAATTGCTCTCCTCAAAACAGAGCGAGCTCGCCAATGAACAGCTCAAGCGAGCGGAAGAACAAGACCAATTAAAAAGCTTGAACGAAAAGATGGAAGCTGAGACGCAGGAAGTTGACGAATGGCAAACCAAAAAACAAGCCCTTGACAACCAACTGCAATTTCTGAAGAACCAGCTTACAGATCTTTCGACGAGCTTAGAAAATCGCCTTGCCAAAGCCGATGCTGACTCTAGGGAAAAGAAAGATCTATTGCTTAAACAACATAGTTTGGAGGCGGGGAAAATCGAGTTTTTAGAGTTGCAGCGCAACGAAAACTTGAACAAAGTTAAAGATACTCAGAAGGATCTAAAAAGTAGGTTGTTTAAAGAAAGGTTTCATTTTTTACTAAACAATTGGCTTTTTAGAACAAGAAACTCTGTTAAAGTGGGAGCATATGCAGTACCAGTTCGTGCAAAATGATGCTGCAAAGTTAGGGATCGACACATCAACTATAATTAACTCCCAGAAAACCAACAAGTATACCACTAATATAAATCAGGTACAACTGCTACTAAACTCAGCTGAAAAAACTGCAGCTGATAATGCAAAATATTTAAGGAAAATATGAAAGTGGAAGTAACTGAGATAGAGGAAGACGAACTAACAAGCGGACAAAAATCACCGGGAATTTTAAAGTCGCCGGGCAGAGCTATTTTTCAGAAAACGGACAAACACGTCAGTTTTGAGGGTCTGTCGTCCACGGAATCCTCTACATCGGGCGTGGCAACCAAAGACGGAAGGGCCGTAAATGTAAGTCAATTTGAAAAAATAGTACATTTTTAAAGCGGTTTTTTTCTCAGCCGGATCTAAATGAGGATGAATTTGATAAACTAATCGACGAATGGGCCATAACTATGCCATCGACTAAAAGGCGTAAACATTTTGATTTTTGAAAACATCTTCAATTCCAAATACGTACCCAGTTCATAAGTGTTATGTATGTTTAAGTTGCTATAGATGGTAAATAACTAGGATAAGGGCTGATTTGGTAAGTAGAATACGAGAAGAACGACTAAAACTTCAATATCTATTTGAATAAAGCGTCTTCAAGTAACCTCGACCATCGGTTAAGTACATCTTTTGTTACAATGCTGTATCGAGTCACAACGAAATGAAAATGTCCTCACCTCTAAATAATAAAAAATACAATAAAAAACTAGAAGCCTCTTAACTTCTTCAAGTAATTTTAATTTTTTATGATGTACCCGCTATGGTATGTCCAGGTACAACAAGTTTGGCAGTTTCTTTAACATTTTAAACGTGAAATTGGCGTTGTTGAAAATTATTAAATAACGTGTTGTCGCGTGTTCTATGCTCACAATATTGTAGGGTCTGAAATAACACCAGATAGGTCAACAAAGGTTAATTTGTTGAGCAGTTATCTGTTTAATAGATTAATGGTTATAAATGTACGTACGTCAAGTTACCTAAGTTTTGGGCAACTAGAGACTAATGAAGCAACATCTGCAACAGTATTTGATTTGAAACTAATGGGTTTTTCGGGTTTTTAGGCCGTCGTTCGGTAGAATTTCTTCGTGACGTCTCGCAAGCTCGGGTGGCTTGCATCTTCAGAAGTGGTTTGCTTGAACGCTTACACTGTTCTGATGATCTTACACATCACATCAGAACGGTGTAAGCAGTAAATTTGTATTTTGGGCATTGCGAGTACAATATGGTGATAGTGCTATCGGATATGTGGAATTGAAACGCGAGGGTTCTTTGTGAACTGTACAAGATAGAATTTGTCCAGAACACAGAGTATGATGAAGGCATATTCTGTCTGCCTCATCATTAGCTTTTTGTTCGTACTTTCATTAAAATGCTCCTCGCAACAAAAAACACTGATTTTGATTTAGAAACATCACGTCTAGCTGCTTTGAACCATAAAACTTTACGGCCATAATTATGGAGAACGGTTAAAAGAGTTTGTTTGGAGCACTTATTGAGGTATTTTTGCATCCTGGCACAAGACACTACTTATTTTGTAATCCACAAATGTCACTATTTTCCATTATGCTAAATAATAATAATAATCAATAAAATAATGATAATCACGATAACTTAAATAATAAATCAAAGCTGCGAAAACAACAAAATAAACACGAGACACTTTGTTGATATGACCTGCTACGTCACAATCGGGATAGGCAACCGACGATGCGGATTCGGCGTTTTTATTTATTTTAATTATATTTTATTTAAATTATTATGGAGACTTTTTTTGCAAAAAAAATATATCAGTGTAATGTTTGCCATGTTTACTTTCTATATATCAACATTTAAAAAAAGTGAAAACACCCTATTGTATTACATATAAGTACATATATATCTTGTTTATGCTATGAGAACAGGTTGTAAGTTTTTATCGCGGTTTTTTACTTTAGCATTAACATTAATAACAAAATTGACAAAAAAGGTGCAACAATAACTACACCGCAAATTAAATTGAGGTGTTAGTTGATCAGGTAGAAGAATTTCAAGAAATTGTCGGTGAGTTCCTAATTTTGTTTGAAACGGCAATAGAAACAATCTTTCCATTTCTATGCAGAATGTAAAAAGACGGAGTGTATCTCCAGAGACTTAAAAGAATCCCAAAGGAAAAAATAGGGATTCAGTTTAATTCCATTTGCGGGACCAGCCATAAAATGCTGAAAAGCAAATGGGAGTCTCTGAAGGAAACGACAAAAAAGGAATTCGCCGAAAATAAGCAGAATCTCTATCAAACGGGCGGTGCCCCTGCACAAATCCCTTCCTCCAACACGATTCAACTAGTGGTGGTATTGGTAGCAGAGTGTTGGGTCTATGGTGTGTAACCTACATATGGTTCTGACGGTGGTCTTGTCTTTGTGATGTTTCTATTCAAAGATAAACGAAAGTAGATTTTTTTAGCTCTTCCAGTTGTGGTTCCAGTGGAGGAGATGCTCCCTGATGCTGTATATATTGGTTCCAAACGTGGATATTCAAAAGGTAAATCTAAGTAATGTATTAATCTAAACCAAAAAAATACTTTAGTAGTCGCTAGTATAATTAGAAATTAATAAAATTGTATTTTATAAAATTATCAATATATTCACTTTTACAGGCCAGCTGCAGTTCGAACGCGTGGAGTCCACAACAGCTGAAAGAGCCTAAAAGCAAGGAGTTGCAAGTGGAAAAATCTATACAAACCGCTAGTAATATTAGTGTATTTGTAGGTATGTTTGTAAGCTTAATTATTCATTTTGTTTATAGATAAGACATTCTCAGTCTTTGCAAGATTGCAAAGGAAAAGGCAGGTCCCTAACGGCCATGAACAATTAATCCAGAAAAAAATTAAGTTAATGGAATTCCATGGAATGCAAGGAATGCAAAAATGCATGGAATGCAAGGAGCGAAGAAGAGATGAAGGCTGAGAAGCATAAGTTGGAAATAGAAGTATTAAATGCAACAAACAAAGTATTATAAAGGTTGCAAGAATCAGGATAGGAAGAGTAGAACGAAGCTGAAAAAAAAATAAAACCATAAAATTTGGCAAGAACAATATGGAGATTTTATTAAAGTTTGTAAATGTTTTCCAGCATGATTCTATGGACAGTCCGTATTTTTTACCTTGGATGTGCTTTATTTTAAGTGTACTTTAAGAGAAAATTATAGGGAACTCCGAAATCCGGCAGATATAAAGCGCACCTTCACCAATTTGGCTAGAAGGAACATTTACAAACTATAATAAAATCTCCATATAAAGTGTAACAAAAAATATATGTAAACATAAAGTTCTGATATTTGGCTATAGTCGCATTGAAGCAATTAAAAAGTTTTTATGAGAAAAGCAGATATTCGAAAATACACAAAAAACACGTCAATAAATCTTATTTGGAAAGTAAGCCTTGACTCTCACTCAAGCAGTGTATTCTGGAACGCACCTTCGCCATTTTGGGCCCTTCAGCTGATCATGACTGTCAGTTTTCAGCTGTTCGTATTTTATTATTGTCATCTAGTAGTGACGGGAAATTCAGGTAATATAATGAGAATTAATTTTTTAAATTACATATAATATAGATTTTGTCTCTATAAACTCGGTAGGGCGCATTATTCAGATGGTAACTTTTTTTTTAATGCAAGAAGTTTCGTAATGATGCGCAAATAGTTTCGAATGCAATTTTGAAGGCCCCCCCTGATTTCTGAGGCCTTAGTTCCAGTAATAATCGGTTTTGAATAATTTTATTAAATTTATATTGATGTTATGATGGTTATTTGAAAAATCGGTATTTTCTGGTTTCCATCCGCCACTCGATAGAAGTTAAAAATTCTTTCTTTGTAGATGATTCCGTTACCAGTAACGTTTCTTAGTACTTAATACTTTTCGCAACAATGCGGGTTTTGACCACATTTTGCACATAATTGAAGTTAACAACTCCCATGAGGGCCTTGCTGCATGGTCCAAAATCAACACTTTAAACCATAGTTTCCCAATCTTTTTCGATAATGGGACACTTTGCAAACCCAGAAATGTTAACGGAACACTTGATTTATCTTTAAGTTGGTTTCTACTGAACTTTATTTTAACACCCAAAAAATGGCTCACTACCTTTTATTAGGCGTTAAGTGTGCGTTTTGAACATTTGCTTTAATCAAAGCAAATATCTTGATTTCCACCAATCTTAGAACTTTCCATGCTCTTTAGAAAACGCCTTACAAAAGAGCAACACCTTAGAAAAGCAAAACGCAAAATCAATATTTTCTATTGGTTAGCAGCATACCCCGATTAATCACCCACTGATTGTAGTTGCGGCTCGATTCAACCAATCGCCTGTAAACACACTGATACTTAAAACAAGGAAAAGGATCTGTGTGAAAATCAACACTTTAAATCAGGGTTTCCCAACCTTTTTCACAACACTTTGCAACCCCAGATATTTTAACTTATTTAACTTTATTTTAACACCTAAAAAAAGGTCACCACATTTTTTTGAGAAAGGTTTTTCCACTTTATCTAAACTTAAAAAAAGTATGAAGTAATGGGAACGTCAAGCAAATGCATTCGCGGAACACTAGCACAAGCAGAATTTTCTACTTGCTATAAACAAATCATTAGTGCATCTTAGATTTCACTTAACTACACTTACATTTGTCTTGTTATTGTAGACAAAAATCGAATTTTCTAATAACATATCTCGATATTGTTAAAAAAAGGTAAACCGCATAAACGGCAATATAAAAATTAACTTTTTTTTGTAAAATGAATAATAGAGAGTTTGCCATATTCAACTTAAGTAAACACACTGTATATTTGGCAAACGCGCAAAAATTTTCGAACTGCACTGCTGTGACTAACTGTGGGGAACTAGTAAAGTTCAATGAATGAGTGAAAAATGGTAGAAAAACGCATTTTCCCAGGAAATACTGCTAAAAAAAGTGGTTAGTATAGGGATTATCTACAGGATGTGCATATTTTTAATTCTGATTAATTTTCCTGACTGCGTGTACTTGTTATGATATTCTTATCTTTCCTGGGCTCAGTCAAAGTGTGAAGTACAATTTTTTTAAACATCGTTTATTTCATTACGTTTCAGCGAGACAACAGCGCCATCATCAGATTTAAAATTTACACAAACTTCAAACACCAATTCACAATTAAAACATGTTGTATACAAATTATAATTTACAGTGCAAATGTAAACATTTATCAGTTTTTGAGGGAAAAAAATTTTGGGAGAGAGCGGAATAATGAAAATTATGTGAAGGTACTAAATGTTTTTATATGCAAGTTTTAAATATAGTGCTAAGTGATTGTTTTTCCTAAATTAACGATATCAATAAAAAAAAATTATAAATACCGAAAAATCCGTAAAAAATAATTACAACCAAAACGATTTAACAACATTATTTAAACAACAACAATAGTACGAGCTTTATTTCAACAAAATCAAGGCAAAACAAATAAATAAGATTGATAGACTTATAACAAAGCAATCTTTGGGGATGGGTAAATGTGTAGCAAAACGATAGTTGGATCAAGAATTTGACAACAATAAACATACCTAATCCGGTAATGTATATTTGTAAATCTCAATATAAACCAATTGATATCATAACAAACGTCGAAAATGGAATCTTCACTAAACAATGAACTAAATATTAATGTCAGAAACAAATTCTGTAACATACAGAATAGACAGACTGATATGTGGAACAAAACAATTCCTAAATAAAAATTCAAATATATGTGTCTTAACAGCAGATAAATGTAATAAAACAGTAATTATGCTTAAAAACGAATACCAAACAAAAATGTTAGCCTTACTAAATGACATCAATACATATAAACAGGAAAAAAA